TGCAGCTTTGGACTTTACTTTCACCTCTGAGCAACCGCTGAATATCCTTTCACTTTGAGTCCAGTTGTATCATTCATCATAGTGTTATTTGTAGTTGACCTCTAGTCTACTCCAATCTCTCATTGAGTGCATCCTGACATTATCTCTACATGGGGTTGCCTTTGAAGACTGTTTGGAAGCTTCAAGTGATCCAACAGGTGGCAGCAAGATTTCTCACTGGAGCAGGGTATAGGGAGCACACTACCCCCATTACGCCAGCTCCTCTAGCTGCCAGTCTGCTACCAAGCACAATTCAAAGTGCTGGCTTTAGCCTATGAAGCCCTAAATGTTTCTGGCCCAGCTTACCTGTCCAAACGTATCTCCCTCTAAGAACCATCTCAGAGATTAAGATCATCTGGGGAGACCCTGCTCTTGGTCCCACCTCCTTCGCAGGTACAATTGGGGGAGGAGAGACAGCCTTCTCAGTGTGGTCCCTCAACTATGGAACTCCCTCCCTAATGAGATCAGATCAGCCCCTTCTCTCCTGACCTTCAGGAAAAAACTTAAGATGTGGATTTGGGGCCAAGCTTTTGACAAGTAATTTAAATAGTGCAATAAGTGACTATGAATCAAGGTGATTGTCAAATAGAACGGTCCTGGATTATGTTTTTTGATGGCATGTTTTTAATTGATGTTTTAATAATTCATGTTTAAATTATTTGGTTTTAATTGTAATTGTTTATTTGATATATTTGTACATGACATCAAATTGCTGCCTGTTGTAAGGCTGCCTTGAGTCCCCTCCAGGATAAGAAAGGCAGGATATAAATATTGTAAACAATAAATAAAATCTCTTTTTTTACTTTGAATTATCTCTTCATATATCCAGGAGAGCTGAAGTTTTTCAAAGCACAGCATACACGGTGGAGGCATTATAAAAGACTATAGGAATAATCCATAAGACAATCGAGTATGACAACTATGGGCCAGTTCACATGAACCAGTTTTTAAAGTATATGCAACCCATTTCCCCTAACACAGGATTACAAAAAAATCCACATTTTAGATGAAGAGTGGTAGCTTCTGCTTATTGGAAAGATTTCGGGCATTCTCGTAAAACAGATCTCCAACTGCATAGCAGGAGAAAGATGCTACCAGAAGTTCGTATGAACCAGCCCTCAGAAAAAAGGGAGACTCAAAAATGTTTATAGTTATTAATAAAGCACAGCTTTCCAAAAATGTGCATAAATTTACCAATGAAAGCAAGCAACATAAATAAAAACATCAGAGCCAACTATACTTTGACAAGTTTATTTTAAGAAAATTAACATGACATTAAGTAAAAATGCAAAATTGTGCAATTATGGCAAAATGTTTAAAAATCCACACATTTGCCCCTGGAGGACTACAGTACTTCTTACTGACATACCTGAGCACTGAGCACCTGATGCCATTCCTACCCGGATTTTGGAAAACAAGGATTATTGATGTTATACACACCACATGTGCAACACTTGCAGAGCACCGTGGCAGCTTCGGGAATAGCCCACCAGACTTTGCTGCAGAGCCCTGTTTCAATTCCATGGGTCACATGCAAAGCTGTGGATAATGTGCACCAGCACTGTTTAGTGGACTTTGCCTTCAAGTCAACAAGCCCAAGAGGAAGAACAGGCTTTCTCCAAGCCTTAAAAAAGCATTAAAAGAAGTCTGAAGCCTCAAGAAGCTAATATGAGCAGCAAAAAAGAGGAAGATGGGAAGAAAGATCAAAGATAACCCTACATAGATCAACACAATCGTGCTAAGACCAGTGAAACTGCGTCATCTGCTGACACATTTGCAGCATTGTTTGATTCAGGTTTTTCCAAAAGCAAGTCTGCACTGGTAAATTCCCACTGGATAATTTAAAAGCATGTACAAAACTAAAGCTAGTATTACTGCTTAAATAATTACTCATGCATACGAATCAAATGTATTCTATCCCCTTGGCAAAAATTTCAAGAGTTAGCTTTCAAGGACATTACCATCAAACCCCCACTCCCAGAATGTGAATTGTTAGACAAAAGTTCTTTGTATTTAGTGCAGAGAAAAAGAAAATGAAAAGCAAGAACAAACCTACTATAGTTAACCACAGCATACTGTATTTCTATATATCACATGACAGGGCTAATTGCTAAATTAAGCTAATTTTCTTAAACTTCAAGTCAAACTGAATTTTCTACAAAATAAATACAGAAGATTGTCAAGAAGCAGCAAAAAATTATTGGAAAAGAAATCTCAACTGAATGGTTTGGAAAGATACGTAACAACCTTTCTTTGCAAAAAAAAAAAAAAACCCAAACCCTCTAATACAAGATTGAAGGAAGAGTGTTTAAAAAGATTTCGGCTGTAAGACTTAAAACAGTACAAATATAGCCAACTAAACAGGAAGAAAATGGGACAGTCGAACACATGACAAGCAACCCAAGAAGGGGAGAAATTATTTTTAAAATTCAGCCTCCGTAACTCTACTCGAGAGATCAAAACCTGTCTTTCATTGAGAGGAAGCACAAGAACTCAAATCAAAGGTAGCAGACTAGCAGTCACTAACCACACAGCCCACAATCTTAGTTTACTTGATGGTTTCAACCCTCAAGTTAATTCAACAATATCTGAAGAGCAGTCCACTGCTCTTGAATCTTTCCCCATTGTTTCTACTCACTGGTAAGGACACACCACACATGCTGTAGCACTGAGCTCAAGATTACCACAAACCTTTTCAATGACATTTACATTTCTAGTCAGCTTCACAGAGGGTCAGATGCTAAACATGGCTGACTATACAGTTTTGCATATTTGACACTCTCCAATTGAGAATCTGAGTGCTGCTGAGACAAGAGTTGAGTGAGAGGCTATAGTGTTTCGGGCGTAATAAAGAGGACGAGGAGCATTGCAGCGAACCGCACATTCCTAATTGACCTGATAGCAGGAGCTGTCAATATACAATATGAAAATATATATATAACCACATCATTTCAGATACTTAGCAGATATTTTATCTTACTGTCCAGGCTACGTACCTCCAGCAAGGTGTATGAAGAAGCCCAAAGAAAAAGCTGCTTGCTGAATCTCTGGAAGATGAGGTATGCGACAGAAGGAGGCTTTATTGTCCTTTTTGTTTCACAGTTGTGTTCAGTGTATTGTGCAAGACTTAAAACGTACAAAGCCTTTGGGATCATATGAACACAAAACATTCCTGGGGATAAATAGAACATATTTACTGAACCAAAACTGCTTTAACTGTAATCTCTTAAACCACAGCTTGACAGACTCAACTAATTAAGTCAAAAGGAGTGAGAGGCATACAGGGACAAAAGTCACCTTTTAAAGAGAACCAAAACAAAAGCAGAGCATATGTTGTTCTTGAGCAATTGTGCTCCTCGGCTTCTTAATCATGAAAAAAAAAATCACTGGTTAAGAGATACTACTAACCTTTAAAAATCATCATATTAAGACTTCTTAGAGGTATAGGAAGCACAAAGCCTTACTCAGTTGCTGCAATACAACTTTGATGTAATATCACAAGGTATTGACTTGCAGGAGTGATAATACTTGGATCACAAGGAAGCTCAGTAGTGCAAACATTCACATTACTCCAGAAACAACTGAAGGCTAGGTAACAAAGATACCAGAAACAGCCAGAACTGCTTTTATACCAATGCACTATTATCTCAAAATTCACCTGTTGCAAATCAACCACATGGTAAAACAGTAACAGAAGGAAGACAAGTTGTTAAGTTTGCACACCGTTACTGCAAAGTGGTCGCCCCGTGTGATGTCCACAATAACCCGCTGTACGCTGTATCACACTGCAACTCTACACATGTGTACTATGTTCAGCGGGCTGACACCTGGGTAAGGGAACATAGGATTGCAGGATAATTCAAGACTCGTTTGGCTGCTAAGGAGTGTCTCAAACTGTATTGTCAAAGTTACTAAAGGATGGACAAAAAGTGCATTGAGTGCTTAACCTTCTAAGAGATGGAATGACCCCCCATCCCCTCCCCCCCGCCACAAAAAAAAAACCCAGCCATTACGTTTACTTAGCCCGTCCTTAATTCTACAAATTCCCACAAATTCAGATAAAATAGGAGTTCACAGACAAAGCAGCAAGAGACAAGCTTAAGACTAGAGACATTAATACTAACTGACTGCCTTACACGGACAATTCCATCTGACCCATTTTGACTTACATGTATTAAAATGTACTAGCACCATTGGGTTTAAAAGCCCTTAATGGAGTGACCACCATATTCAATTGCTTTTGAAACTCTACAATAGGAAATGATGGCTGTTAACGCCACTGGAAGATTTAAGAAGAGAAGACTAGACACATGAAACTCACAAAGAGTAGCAATGCAACCACCTCAAGTAGGCCTTCTCTGTTCCAAATGGTAGCTCATATTCTACAGCAACATCTTCAGGAGCTACCACAACATATACACACAAAATATTTCAGTACCATTATACACATAGAAGAGGTATAAGGACCGGGTATTTGCCTATTTAGTATCACTGAATCTATTAACAGCAAGCAAGTGATATTGCCTCAGATTTTACCCGTATTTTAAATAAGAAGTCACTTCAAACTTGCTCTCTTCCCCCCTAGCTATTCAGGTTAGATTTGCTTTACTGGAGTGCATAGTTACCCTCCAACTCATCTACTCTAGTTTCTAGTCAAACTGTCACTCTAGAACAACATGATCCAACAATTCTATTAGCAGAGAAAATGCTGATAATTGCACTTCATAACCCACCTTACTCCGCAGGAAAACATCAATTCGGAAACTAAGCCACTAATTCCCTTCTCCCCACTCCAACTTTTAAAGAGCACCCATCCCATGTAAAAAGAAAAGCCATCTGTTTTAGCTCACATAAATACTGACTGGAGTGAACTTGTTTTTCCGTTAAAAACAATGTGATTTTTCTACTAGTATTAAATACCAAAGTCACTAAGGCCTTTTAACAATGGAGGTGGGGGGGGGGGGGGGGGGGGGGGGGAGATGGAGTCAAATAACTTTCTGAAGACACTGTGGATACAATTTAGCAACAGCACATTCAAAATGACGTCCAAGATCCCAGAGCTTATCTGGGGTTTCGTACACTTTATGCCACTGGTCAGTAACTTCGTCGTACTGATAAAGCGAATTCTTCCTGCTGGTCCTAAAGACGTGTTCTTCAACGGTGACTTGAGTGGCTCGAACAAACAAATGCAGCTTATTTTTGAGGACAACAAGTTTAATGTATGGATTAATGGACTGGTCACATGGGAAGTCTTTCTTCTGAGTCCACTTGTTCAGTTCAATGTCATAGGCCTCTACGGTAAACATACGCTGATGGTTTCCACAGGTTCCAGCAATGTAGTAGATGGAGTTGTTGTAGACAGCTGCCAAACCCTGGATCCTAGGCACAGTCATAGGAGTCAAGAAACCCCAGTAATCCTTTTGAGGGTCATAGCAGAGGAAAAATTCTCCTAAGGAGAGAAAGAAAGGCAAACCAAACTATTAGAAGCAAGTAAAAAAAGAAGTTTTGTTAATGTTAGTTTGCCTCCAAGCTCCATTGTAATAGATTAGGCTTGCAGAATTCCCAGGGGTTATCTTAATGACATAGTTGCTTAAGAGCCTCAGCAAATCTTTTACTATGGAGTAGAGTTCATAATAGTAGTCTCTGTGTTGAACTAGGACACTGGAAGATCAGGGTTCAAATCCCCAATTGGTCATGAAAACCCACTGAGTGAACATGGGCAAGTGGTGCTCTTTCAGCCTCAGGTGAAGGCATTGGGAAATGCCTCTGAGCAAATTCTGCCAAGAAAATCCTGTGAAGTGTTCGCTTTAGGGTCACTGTCAGTCAGAAATGACTTGAAGGCACACAACAACATGCCTAGTTGGTTTTGAGGCTATTGCCCAGTAACACTAGTTTTATGTTACATTTCAAAATGTATATCCAGGTTTGGCATCAGCTATGACATTATTTATACCTAATTATATCAGGAGTATTTATAAGTACGGTGAGCTCTTGGCATCCACTGGGTTTTAATTCCAGTTATACCTTCGCGGATATCAAAGTGTTCAAGCCCCATTACATATAGTGCTGTAGTGAAGCAGTATCCTTTATATAAAATGGCAAAATCAGAGTTCACTTTAGAGGATTTTAAAAATATCTGTTTTTAAGCAATGGGTGGCTGACTATGGAGGGCTGACTGTAGTGTAATTTATCAGAAGCTAATAAAGGAATAAAATGAGAAAACCAGATTACTTTTCCATGTAGAGTTCTCCATATTTGCAGATTTGCCTTTTGGGGATCTCATTATTCACGTATTTCGTTAAAATGAAATCCTAAAATCTACAGAGATACTCGCAGGAACACCTCAACAAGTGAGAGTCCAAAAGTGGCTAGCTAAAACCCAGAACCTCAATCCATGGCTGACACCAGATGAGAAACTCCTCCCTGGGCACACAGAAAACTGGGCAACTTGGAAGGCAGTGAACAGACTGCATTCTGGTACCATGGGATGCAGCACCAACCATAAGAAAGGGGGCTACAAAGTGGAGTCCACGACATGCAAGTGTGGAGAAGAGCAAACCACAGACCACCTATTACAATACAACCTGAGCCCTGCCACATACACAATGGAGGACCTTCTCACAGTGACACCTGAGGCACTCCAGGTGGTCAGCTTCTGGTCAAAGGAAATCTAGAATAATGCCAAGTTTTAAACTTTGTGTTTTTTAAAATACATTTCAACTGTACTCCCAATTTGCTTCTGACACGATAAATAATAAAAATAATTAAAATGTTCTCTCTAGGTCCTCCAGCATACCTTGTTAATAACATTAACCTTAGTTTTATACCCCGCCTCAATCTCCCTGAAGGGACTTGGGGCAGCTTACAAGGAGACAAGCCCGAAAGGTACAAATTAAATCAACACAATAAAATAAAATCAACACATCAGAATAAAAAACATATTGCAGTCACGAAGCAAACATTATAAAACAACATCATGGCTGAACGATTAGGTTCCAAGTTTGGGGGGCTCAGGGTATGTGCATTGGTTCCTAAATAGAAACAGGGGAAAGGATATTCTGTTGAAAGGGGAAATGAAGATTAAATCGTTTGAACAACTTAAGAACATGTTCGGAAATATAACCTGGTTACACTACCTTCAAATTAAAGAGCACTTCAAACAAGATCAAAAAATTGGATTTGACTGGGAAGAAAACACATGGGATAAAGTTTTAAAAATTGAGAAAAAGGTAGTCACAATTCTTTACAACAAATTGATCCAATGGCAAACGGAAAAAGAGCAGGTTAAAAATTGTATGATTAAATGGGCCGAAAATCTAAGACGGCCCATTCAATTTAGAGAATGGGAACAAATGTGGAATAAAAAGTTGAAATATACTTATGCCATGGATTTGAAGGAAAATTGGTACAAAATGTTTTATAGATGGTATCTGACTCCGAATAAACTAAGCCATATGTACCCAAATGTCTCAGATAAGTGTTGGAAATGTGGAGAACAAACGGGCACATTCTTCCACATGTGGTGGACGTGCAAAGAAACAACTAAGTTCTGGGCATCTATACATGAAGAAATACAAAAGATACTGAAGAGAAGGTTTAGAAAGAAACCTGAATATTATTTATTAGGATTTACGGACTCTGACCTTAAAGTAGAGGAAAATGAAGATAAATTATTCACGTACTTTACCACTGCGGCAAGAATTATTTTTGCCAAATTTTGGAAAAATGAACAGATACCTACTGTTGAAGAATGGTTGGAGAAAGTCAAAGAAATTAGAGACATGGACGAATTGACATTTTTAATGAGAAGAAATACCGGGAAACCGCTAAAGAGAACAGACTGGACTTCTTTTTATGATTATGAAAAGAAATTTAGAAAAATATTAGAGGATAAGAATAGACAAGAGTAGAAGAAGTTGATGGAAAAGATCCTGATGTTGGAGTGGAAGTCATTTTAGAATAGTTTAGGTTAGTTTAGTCTCTTTTTTGTCGTTTTTTTTGTTTGTTTTTTGTCCTTTTTTTTTTTTCCTACTTTTCTATTTTCTTCTTATTGTTCCCCCTCTTTCGTTGTCCTGTTTTATAAAATATTTAATAAAAATCATTTAAAAAAAAAAAAGAAACAGGGGAAAGTGCAAAATTCAATAAGGCCCAGTTGGGTGGGTAATGTCCTTAGCTGTTTAAAATGTCAGCCATTTTAAATGTCAAGGTTAAAGGAAAGAGGGCCATCTAAAGTGCAGGAGCTTTAGTCAAAGTCATATTTGAACATCTACAGATTCCTAAAGAGCTGTTTTCTCAGATAACACAAAGTTTTTCTTTACTCACGCTTTCCCCATTTTCAAGGGGGTCCTGAGCCCCTAACCCAGTGAAAGTATAGGAGTATTTTCATCACCAAAGAGGACAATTATTTTTACTGAATAGTAGAAAATAAGATTTTGCACATAAACTAAAATAATTATAACCATTAATATATGAAGCTTTAATATCTGCTACCTTTTTGGAAAACCTCCTTCCCCATTTGTGGTTACTTTTACAATCTAACGTAATTACACTTGCATAACCCTACAACATGTTTAGGCTGACAACAACCTATTTTGAATGTGGAGGGGAATGGCCAGGTGAATTCCTTCATCAGAAGAAATTATACTAGAATTACTGTGTGAACCAGCCCTTGGCACCGTTAGTGGTACAGGCGTAGAAAAATACACAAATAGTGGAAGGAAAAGAACTGGTACACCATAGTATTGGATGAACCAATGTCTCAAGCAGTGCATGAAAAACCCAAAATAGAAATTCAAAGAGTCACTGTGGGAAACCCTTTTTTCTTGAATTATGCAGTAACTACAATTTAATCTTTGGACTCGGAAGAATGTAAATTACTAAAACACAGCAGAAATAATGGTTTTCTTTTTTGAAGTATTTCAGCACAAGCCCATTTTATCTTATTTACAAGGCTCACTGTAGAAAGTTAAGGGACAAACGTACCAAGGCTTCTTCAATCCCACTGAACGGAGTGACCATTACTACTTTATGGGAAATAGCTACATGTTTTCATCAGGACAGAAACACAGCCAACCACAAGAAATATGCCTGACCCAGATTGGGTGGGGGTGGGGGGGGGGTGTTACTGCCACTTACAGAAGTTTTAAAATTTAAAATGCAATGAGAGATTTCAAGCACCTTATCACTGAATCTACTTTATTAAATAAGATCCCCCACACAACATCCATGATCTTCATACACATAACACCTGGAACAGCATCTACATCTTTAAAGTAAGAAATAGCTCTAAAATGTATGGACATAAAGATAAGTTCACCTTCAGTTTGAGTAAAGCCAGTCACACACCACAATTATATGCATCCACATTAACCTTTGACATTGTTTATTCTGTTCTCCACTGCCTTTGTGTCACCAGTAGCTCACGTGAAATGAAATCACCATGTCCTGTTCCACTGGACATTTAACTAAGACTCATAAATCACAACTAAGGGTTAGGATTAGGGTTAGGACCACAAATTGCCCCCATACTATCAAGTGCTGACCCAGAATCTTCATTTCTCAGCCAGTCTCTGTCATGGGTTTTTATGGTGATGTATTTTAACTGTGTTTAACTGTAACTCATCTTTAGCCATGAGGACTGCCTTTATAGATCTGTACAGAGTCAGGACAGCTTTTGGTTTGCAGCTCTGGATTGTGCAACTAGTACAGTTTCACCATGCTAAAACAATGGATGTGGCTCTTAATGAGACATGCCATATTATCACAGGATGTCTACGCCCACACCACTGGAGAAATTATACTGTTTAGCCGGTATTGCACCACTTGACATCTGTTGGGAAGTAGCAGCCAGTAATGAAAGGACCAAGGCAGTGACATTTCCGGCCCATCCTGTTTGGCTATCAGCCAGCACACTAACTCCTTAAATCAAGAAATGGCTTTCTAAGATCTACAGAGATACTCGCAGGAACACCTCAGCAAGCGAGAGTCAAGAAGTGGCAGGCTAAAATCCAGAACTCCAATCCATAGCTGATGCCAAATGAGAAACTCCCTTCTGGGCACACAGAAGACTGGGCGACTTGCAAGGCACTGAACAGACTGCACTCTGGCACCACGAGATGCAGAGCAAACCTTAAGAAATGGGCTTACAAAGTGGAGTCCACGACATGTGAGTGTGGAGAAGAGGAGATGACAGACCACCTACTACAATGCAACCTGAGCCCTGCCACATGCACAACGGAGGACCTTCTCACAGCAATACCAGAGAAACTCCAAGTGGCCAACTACTGGTAATAGAACATTTAGCACAATGCCAAGTTTTTAACTTTGTTTGTATTTAGCTATTGTGCACAAGATTTAAAATTAACTGTTGTGGCAAGGTACAGACAGGACCAGGGTCATGTTATGAAGATAGAGCATTACTATGATCCTAAATCAGGTGCCTCTTGTGCTGGCTGTTCAGAGAAAAGTTTTTTTTTTAAGTCCATAGTCAGTAATGCCACAATCCCAATCTATTTTATATTGCCCCTAGATATTAAAAAATATTGCCATGACTATAAAACCTACACCTTGTTGGCCGTAAGAAGAGCAAATACAGTGGGGGCATAGAAAAGAGGCTTGATAGTGCAATAAGAAATAAATATAGAGAGTTGTGGTTCAGAAGTTTAAGCACTGTACAAAATGGTTTAAAGGTCCCCAAAAGAGAGAATATAAATATACAAAACTTCCTCACAAAGAGTAACCCCACCAGAAAAATGCTGTGCTTTTTTTGGACAATATCACATTAGAGTTCAAAAGCCCAAGTTGATGTTTCCAATTGCCTGGTTTGCTCCTGCAGAATTCTGGAAAAACTACTTTAGAGAAGGCGAGGACCTCTCTGGCAGAGATCTCCAAAGGCTTTGTCCTAAACTACATTTCTCAGAATTCTTCAGGAGCAAACTAGGCAATAGGTAAACATGGATCTGTGCTTTATAACTCTAATGTGATCTTGCCCTTAACGGCAGAGGCTTTCAAATCCCTCAGAGACAGATCTTAGCCAACCCTGCTACCCATGCTCCTTTCACTGGTAATGCCAGGGAATTTATGCATGGAAACCATCTGGTCTTCCTGCTAACACTGTTCATGAGCTTCCTAACATTGCTTTGTGGCACAGACAGCAGCACCAGTAAATTCTACACCAGTAATTTTCACAGAAGGACTTCATATCATCTGAAGATACACCATTCCACCATCTTCTGAGTTAGCAATTATCGTCTGAAACACTTAACAGTTCCACATTAAACCCCTATCATGAGTAAACACATAAACCTAAAATCCATTGAGTGATTTAACTCTTCTGTGCCTGAACAATAGGAGATGAACACATCCTCCCCTTGATCAAGAAGTGACTCAGAGGCAGAAGATTGATTAATCTTTGCCAAATATTCCTCCACACACAAACCTCTTACCCTGTAAAACATAGATATTCTCTTTGTATTCCACAGCATTATGAAACTCCATCGCTACAGGCATTGGACAGACAGCTGTCCAGCAGTTCTCTCGGCTGTCATAACACTCCACTGATTTCAGTGAGTTGCGTCCATCTCCTTCATAAACCCGGCCTCCTATTGCATACAGTTTACCACAGCAATGAACAAGTTTGCAGCCTATCCTGGCACGAAGCAGTGGAGCCTTAGGGATCCATCTATTGCCCGAATGATCATACATCCAGAAGTCACTTTCTGCTCTATGGTCTATGGAGACCTCGCTACTGCTTGGCCTGTACCCTCCAGCAATGTAAATGTCATTATCGGGTGAAACAAGGATCCCCACTTCTCGCAAATCATTGGGTGGCTTGCATAGTTTGAAGACTCTCCCTGTGTCAGAATCTAAACAAGGCACTGTTTGCTTCTTTCCTGAGTGTTTGTGGGCAGCATCGAAGCAGATGATCATTTCCGAAGCAGTCATCCCAAGCCGCTGGGTATAGCCGTTGGCACTACTTTGTTCTTCCTGTACACAGTTTTGGGCTATAGTCTGTGCAAACATTGGGGGAATTTGTTCTATGAATGCTTCATCTAACAGGGGCATGCGGATGCATTTGGCAAAAATTTCTGGCAAATGAGCTTCTCTTTTGTTGGGTTCATGTTCAAACCATCTTATGATGCTTTCATAGACATGCTCTTCCTTGTCGACGTTCAAGTCATTGCTGTCCAGGATGCTTATGAGTTGGTCTTTCCTCAGCTGAAGAAACTCCTGCTCTTTGGTGACACACAGAAACTTTTTCCGAATGTAGTCTTGGGATCTGACTTTTAGTTCCTGATGCCCATAGTGATCAGCAAAGATAAACACGCCTATTGAGTTCTGCGGGTCCAAATGACTGATCATGTATTTAGCACACTGGTCTTGGATAGAAGGAATCTGGAAGATACTAGCTGCAGTGAACAAAGCTTGGACATTGGCCTCTGTCAGTGTTACTCTGGAGGTATATGCATAGTTCAGTACTAAATGCATGGACTCTGCTTCAACACCAACTATCCGAACTTCCTTCTGGGTACTCTCAGTAAGGCCACTAGTGAACATTGATCTACAAAAAGAAGATGTACGCAGTCACTTATAAAGTTTTGTTAATAAGTCAACATTAAGCCTAAACGTTTTATCAGTAGGTTGTGCTGAAACAAGGCTCATTTTTGAAATCCTTTTACAGTCAGCCCTGTACATCTGTTGGGGTTAGGGAAATAAGATCCACACAAAAGTGAAAAATGGCAAATAAAGAAATTCCATTACCTTTTACCTGAGTGAACACCTCTCTACAAATGTCTAGGGCTTCCAGCACAATTCTAGGGTCAATTTCCTCTGGAAGCTGACAATAGCAATGCACTGGAGAAACCAGAGATTCCTAGAGAGGTGCTCTCCCTAGAAATCTCTAGATCCTCCAACATGACTGAAGGAAAGTGACTACAGAGTCATATTGGGAGACCAGAGATTCCTAGAGAGAGCGTTTATAACCAAAGCCATGTATAATCAAATCCACAAAATTAAAAGCACAAATGTGGAGGGAATTAATGTGCTGCCATTGCAGTCAATGTTATTCAGACAATTTAAAGTAATTGTAATTTTGTTCACCCATCCCGCAATGAGCTTTTACTATAATCATCAGTAGCAGATGACTGTCACGCTAATTTGCACATATATTACCTACTACTTAGGATATAGATTGCAACATGTAAGGTGAGTTTGCTAACCACCTGAGAGAAATTGCCTGCTTATGATGAGCTGCCTACATGGCTACATGGCATGCTAATTAGTTTGTGGCTATGAGTTTATTATTATTTGTGGCTATGAGTTTATTATTATTTTAGTTTATGAGCTATTAGTTTGAGCAAAGACAGAGGGGAGCAGAAGACAGTTCCATCTTGTCTTTACTAATAATATAATATAGTATATTGTATATACATATAATATTTATAATATTATAATGTAATACAATATAATACTAGTAATAATAATTCAATATTATAATTATAATTATATATTTAATTACATGTAATATTACTAATAATATTACAATATAATGGTATAGTGCAATATAGTAATATATACTGATATTGTACTTTGCTAATAATATAATATATTGTATGAAAATATATATTGTAAGCCGCTCTGAGTCCCCTTCGGGGTGAGAAGGGCGGCATATAAGCGCCGTAAATAAATAAATAAATAAATAAATATGTTTACCTGCACAATGTGGCAACCTAACATCAGATAGCTAAGAAAGTTCATCAAGCTGAATATATGCCAAAATCAAACACATAAGAGCATATCTATACTAGCAAGCAGGTGTAGCTCAATGAGTGATATACAAAATGGTACATGAGAGTAGAATTAATTCACAGCATATCTGCCCAGGTTTTTACAATGACCAGTTGCATGAGCTCTGATGCAATGAGAGTAACTCACAATACTTGAAAGAACCTTCCTTTTTGCAATTTTCTTCCCACTGAAAATAAGCCTATTTTTTTAATCTTTGGAGTAAGTAAGAATAAATTGTTGAAAAAGGAACATACTCTGGAAAAAAACACCTTGTAGAAAGAGCTAGCAATTGTAATTAAACTGTATACAGACTGTCCCTGGTAAGCCAATGTTTGAAACAGCACATTAATCAGCACAAATAACAGGACGAGATCGTGATAAAGAGCAGACTTAACCATCTACATACTCCCCAGGATCTCAAAAGCTTAGAACAAGAAAGGACTCTTCTCCATATCTTACTACAAACAGCAAATGTAAGTGCAGCATAACCAATTCTTTCAGGGAAAAAGAAATGGGATTTGTTGTTGCTTAGGATTTGCATTGCTACAAATCCTAAGCAACAACATGACACAGTATGAGAACCTGATGTCTCATACTGCGATCAATGAAGCAAACCGATAAAGATGGTAACTATGGCTGTCCAACTTTGAATATAAAGTGGAAATATTATCCTGTTTACTTCAGAATCTGTGGCTGATGTGTGGAACCTATAATACCAACTATTATAAAATGCATTTTATCAAAGTAATGGTCTAGTTATGGATTGCAATATACCTGAAATAAGGACTGATTGCAGCAAGAACGTTCCGATGACAGGAAAAGGTTTTCCCATGATCCACTTGCACAACAATATCTATTAGCTGCCCTTCATCATACATAGTTTTGAGCTGCTGGAGAATGCTGCAAGCATGGGAAGGATCCATTCCACCACGGGCTGGGGGGCTTGAGGAAGGAGTTACGTTCAATGTTTGTGAAAACTTGCTTTGTTCTGGGGAAATAAATGAAATAAACTTAGCATGCAACATAAGGAAAAGTTACAGTTGACAAATGGATCAAGAAGAAAGTCATATTTCACAGGTTGTAACCACTGGAAGCCATTCTTGATTACAGAGGGATCGTAAAATATGCCAGTTGATATTAAGATTTCTTCCCAGGGTTTCCCACAGACTACATGACATACTAGCCTGAAGCAGATTCACCTTGTATCTTTTTTCATCAATCTACTTGAGACAAATGCCTACACAGAAACTAAGACCCAAAAATAAAATATTACACTGAAAAAAAATCAGCTAGTGGTCATGGAAACAAAGATTAAATACCATAGGCTAAATCTAATGTTAGACCCACTGAAATCAGTGGGATGTATTTAAGTGGTTGACTAACAAGGGCTAGCTATTTCAATGGGCTAACTCTATCTGGAATTAAGATTGATTTTGGCCTCTTACCCTATCCCGGGTTTGCTTTGCTCTACACTTAGACGTTAATCAAGTGTTGCTATTTCTCCAAGTTCCAACAATACCAAGTATGATGATAACCCATCATATAAACCACTGCTTACGTTAACTAATTTGCTACTAAAGCCATAACCTCAAACAGACAACACAACCATGGCTTGTCTTTTCCAGGTCTCATTTGTTTGTCTCATAACAACTGTCAACTCCTGTTTATGTGATGGGAAATATGGAAACAGCTACGGTCAAGTCCTGGCTGTGGATCTGGATACAACAAGTCATCATTTGCTGTTGTGTGCCATGTCCAGAGCTTGGTTTATGGCTGATTGATTACAAACAGTGGCAGGTTTGCAAATGGAACCAGCTGGATTTTAGCAAATGACACCAAGGCGTTGTAACAGGGCAATCTCTACAAGAGCAGCATGCTCCCGGCATGCTACTAATTAAAGAAAGGGAGAAAAAAAAAGATAGGGGTAGGATGCACACAAGAAAGAGGGTAATTCTGAACCATACAGAGTAGCCAATAGTAGGTCACCTTCACTGCACAACTACCAAATTCAGTATAAGTCAACCCCATTTTGAGGACAGATTTGGTGGCCAGAATTATGGATTTTGCTACAATATACACATTTACCTGTTGATAAATTGACCCAGATTTTGGGGTTGATTTTTTGAGTAAAATTTTGAGTATATAGGGCACATTACAATAGCTCAGCTCAAAGACAGTTCAGATAATTCCTCATCATCCTGTCACTGAAAATAAATTAAAACATTTAGTTACAAGTTTGGAAGCAATTCAAAAATAACTACTCTCATATCTTAAATACCAAGCAACAGTAGATGAATTTTCACATGCTTCGACATAGGTACTCTAGTTTCAAAATTAACACCTGATTCACATTTTATATTCATGTTTTGAACTTTACTCAATTGCCTACTATGAGAAGCCAATCTGTATTGAGCAAGAAGATTTGCTGTTCAACCTTCTGTACGCCACAAGCTAGCAAACAAAGCTGGTAAAACTTTACAAGGCCTGCTTAGTATTTCACCTTTTATCATATCAGAAATGTGCTAATTTATGTAATCAAATGACAAAAAACAACACATAGGGGTACATCATGTACTCCAGCTATCATGATTTGTGACAGGATTGAAAATATCCCTGACATAATTACATTCCATCCAATTGTCTTAAAAATTATGTCTCAGCTATTAACACAGAATGAGAAAAAAAAACTAAGTCTAAATAGTTTGCAAGGAGTTCCTGGTAAAATGATAACTAGAAGCCCTTGAAATATAAAGCTTGCCTTGTTAAAGCAAACAAACAAGCAGCATTTCCAGAAGTGGGACAATTAGGTGTCTGAAAGCGCTAGAAATCAGGTAACTGAGCAAGCTGGAAAAACACCTTAACTGGATCCTAACTGGGAAGACTCCTGCTTCAACCATACTGCCTGTGAATTCTTTATAAACCTACTCTAGTCATCCACTCAAACGTTTCTATCTTTTAATGCTGGAAATTGACAGGACCTTTGAGACTGAGGGGACATGTACACTATACAATGCAGTTTGACACCACTTAACTGCCATAACTCAATCCTATGGAAACCTAAGAGCTTTAGTTTTACAAGGACTTTAACCTTCTCTGATAAAATGGGCAACTTCCATGGGTCCTTAGCATTAAACCACGAGGCAACAACATTGAGATATGGCAGTTAAAGGGGTGCAAAACTGCATTAATTTTACAATGTAGTTGCCCCCTGAGATTAAAAAAAAGTTGTTAGCACCCCTTTCTTACATAAATAGTTATGTTGGGGTTGAATACATCTATGGCAGGAACTCTCATTCTAGTCTCCTTGTTTTTTTCCTTAATAACACAAAGGGGAAGACCCCAATGTCAACATATATGAGAAACAAAAATGGAGAAAGGACTTGTTCCTGTTTAGCAAAAATGTTTAGTCTTACACACATTTGAATTTAATCCATTGAGGATACAATTTTACACAAGCTCAACACAAGAAAACATTATCAAATGTAGAACTGTAGATAAAACTTGTATGACAAAAGTTTGTTAATTGAATGGACGTATGAACTAAAATTTTAAAAAATTGAAACATAACCCCATATGCGTTTACTCAGAAACAAATTCCTGTAGCTCCATATTATTCCTCTATCAATGTTTTTAGGATTATTGTCTTATTCCTGAGCAAATCTATTAAGGACCAATAAAATATGCTTATCTTGGGAACAGATGTATTAACATAAAAATGATCAAACATTCATATGCAGGCCCAAATCCTCTTTTAGTCCAAACTAAGTAGACACGAATCTGTTAAATGTATCTCTGTGATGACTCAAAATTTAACAATTGAATGAATGGGTGCTTTGAGTCCCCTTCGGGGGAGATAAAGCAGGGTATAAATAAATAAATATAATCAATATAATAATAATAACAATAATAATAATAATGGTAATAATGGGTCTGCTCTAGTTGAGACTACCAACAGGATGAAAGCCGTAGTGAGTCAATAAACCAAATCACAACCTGTCAACCTGTACTGGGGAGTAACTTTTAAAAAAGTTCATCATCTCCAAAAACAGTAATTTAACAAATGCTAAAATACCAAAAGGCCCCTCAATCCATGGGTTTTCACTCAATTAATACAAACCACCAATAAGCCCAACTGAACCTGTCAACAATTTCCCCGCTCTCCCTAGGATACATATATCCTTAAAAGGATTTAAAGATTCAAATGGTAGAGAAGTAGCTTGAAATTAAAACGTAAACTTTTGAGAGAGGTTTACAATTATGTGATCAACAAAACAAGCTGTGCATTACTAAGCAGAAGCGACAATTTGAACAATAGCAACTGAAGATATACTCTGAAATCCAGATTAAATCAGAAGTATAACATTTATTCTCGAAAATAAATGCATTTACTTAGTCTTTAAATAATCACCATAGCTACTATTAACTATTAAAGGGTATGTATATGTGTGTATGCATACACAGTATATACACATACATATATAAATAGACACACAAATATATACAAATATACACACATATATGCAAATATATGCAAACATATAAATATACATGTATACACACATATAGCATACAAATATATACATACACACATATAGCATACAAATATATACATATTTACACACATATCTATATGCATAGATACATAAAATGTATATATGTATATCTACACAAATACGAGTGCATAGTTATATATATATATACATACATGTATACACACGCATATATACATACACATAGTATACAAATATATATATATATATCTGCACACATATCTTTATGCATAAACAGATATATATCTATAGATCTATATAGATATATATATCTACACATATGTCTGCTGCACACACATATATTCACACACATAGACAAAAACTTGTATAAATATATATACACACATCTATGTATAAGCATACACACATCTATAAATATATACATTTACAAATATTTATAGACATATGCACATGAATATAAATTCACAAATATATACATATATCTAAAAATACATGTACACACATCTATTTATCACACACATCTATACTCACATATATAAATACATATATTTACATACACACATCTCTCTATACATACACACATATAAATATCTATAAATACACATGTCTACACATACACATATACTCTCCCACACATATATGAGATATATAAATACATATATTTACATACATACCTCTACACACACCCAAATATATACATATCTATAAATAAACATGTCTACACAAACATACACATATACTCACACACACGTTTATACACACTCATATATATATACACACACACACACACATATACATATACTTGCATACACACAGATCTGTACAGTGTTCCCACACTTATTGTTGGGGTTCTGTTCCAGGACCACTCGCGATAAGTGAAAATCCGTGAAGTAGGGACACCATATTAATTTTAATATTTATATATTATTTTATATATTTTATATATTAACTACCCATGCTTCCTTACCCACCTCCTGGCCCATCCCAAGGGCGCCTGCCTGCCTCCTTGGCCTCTGCAGAGCTTCCAGAGCCACGCAGGCAGCAGTAGGCTAGGGAGTCAGGCCTTCCCTGCTGCGCCTCAGGCCGCCGCACTTCCAGAGTCTGTGGGGTCCAGGGAGGCAGGCCTTTCCCGCTGTGCCTCAGCCCACTGCACTTTCGGGGTCTGTGGAGGACAAGGAGGCAGGCCTTTCCAGCTGTGCCTCAGGCTGCCGCACTTCTGGGGTCTGTGGAGGCAAGGGAGGCAGGCCTTCCCCGCCGCGCCTCAGGCCGTCTCACTTCCTTCACTTCATGTTATTTCTTAATTAGTCGCTCTCGACCAAGATGCTCCAAGCGACTTACAATTTAAAATAGCATTTACACAATATAAAAAACATTCAACATAAAAACATACAACAGTGACTATTTGACAAATTAGATCTGATCACTTTACTTAAATGCACAACCAAACAGCCAAGTCTGACATTGCTCTAACTTATGGAGGCAATGAGTTCCACAGAATTGAAGCATAGATCGAAAAAGCTCTTCGCCTTGTAGCTTCCAGGTGTATAGATTTTCTTGGGTGGATCGAGGTAATCACTGATGGGAAAAAGGAATGAGGCGGTCCCTAAGATATAAAGGTCCTTGGCCATTTTGAGCTCTAAAAGTTAGGATCAGTATCTTGTAAGAGATCTGATGTCTGTAGGGTCCAGGGAGGCAGGCCTTCCCCGCCGCGCCTCAGGCCTCTGCACTTCCAGGGTCCCTGGCCTCCACTGGACGTAAATATTTAATATTTATTATTAATATCTTCAAAAACCCGCGAAACAGCGAGTCTGCTAAAAGCGAACCGCAAAGTAGCGAGGGAACACTGTGTATACGCACATATACATATCTATAAATACGAATGTCTACAGAAACATACACATATACTCACACACGTAAATTTATACACACACACACATAAATGTAAATACATATATTTACATACACAATTCCATCGTGGGTGGAGTTCAGAATGCTCTTTGATTGTAGGTTAACTATAAATCCCAGCAACTACAACTCCCAAATGACAAAATCCCATATACACATATCTAAACAATAATTACACACATGCACACTTGAACAGCTAATAGTAGCTACTTTTTTGTATTGCAAACACACACATCCTGCGCTTAGGGAAGGTGACTTGGAAAAAAAGAGTTTGCCTCGCCTCCTCCCAACATAATGAATTGGATTATCATTCAAGAAGTCAGGCTCAAAGGCCCACCCGCCCCTTCCCTCCCCTCCCTCCCTCCAAACAGACAAGCAGACAGAGAGACAGGCGCAGCCCCCTTTTGGGCCAGAATCACCTCTGTGGACCCGGCAGCCGCCCTGCAGGCCTCAGAGCGCGCGCCCCTCCGCCCCTCCCTCCTTCCTTCCCTCCCTCCTTCCCTCCTTCCTGCGCACGAGCCCTCCTCGCGCCCGCGCTCCCTCCAACCGCCGCTCAGAAGGCCCGCGAAGTGCACCCTGGGAGCGGTAGTTCCTGTGCCTAAGCGGCGCACCTTCTTGCTCTCGAAGTGCATCCTGGGGGTTGGGCGTTCTGTTGCCGGGCAACGCTCTGCTTCCCAAAGGAGGGAGGACTGGGAGGAGCTGCAGGCCGCTCTAGCTCCCATGGGATCTGTTTACCTGAGTTACGGTATGATGTTTGTCTTGGACTTGAATGTATGCTTCTCCTGGCTGTTTGAGCCTTGTGTGCCGCTTTGAGTGCCACCCATGGGAGAAAAGGGGAGTATGAAATATATAAATGAATAAATAAATAATCCAGGGATTATGTTTGTAATTTTGGGAGGCAAGATTTTATTTTATTTATCGTGTCATCAGCAACCATTGTATTACAATTCTAACAGAGCAAAACAAACACACAGATTTTGCAAATTTGGTATTTGGTTAAATGTCCTTTGACCAGTATCTGGCCACTTGGAGTGCCTCAGGTGTCACTGTGAGAAGGTCCTCCATTGTGTATGTGGCAGGGCTTAGGTTGCATTGCAGCAGGTGGTCAGTGGTTTGCTCTTCTCTGCACTCGCATGTCGTGGATTCCACTTTGTAGCCCCATTTCTTAAGGTTGGCTCTGCATCTCGTGGTGCCAGAGCGCAGTCTGTTCAGCACCTTCCAAGTCGCCCAGTCTTCTGAGTGACCAGGGGGGAGTCTCTCATCTGGTATCACCCATGAATTAAGGTGCTGGGTTTGGGCCTGCCACTTTTGGACTCTCGCTTGCTGGGGTGTTCCAGCGAGTGTCTCTGTACATGAGAGAAGCCTCCTCGCAGGATTGCAAGACATCCGGGCGTCCTCTGGGCAACGTCTTCGTAGACGGCCGATTCTCTCGATCCAGAAGCAGTCAGAACCGGAGGCAAGATTAGAATGTCCTATATTAGTGTATTGAATATAGGAACATGGAACAACGGATTATGAGATTGGATCTTGATTCTACCTATGAGATGCTGTGTTGTTGTTCATTCGTTCAGTTGTCTCCGACTCTTCGTGACCTCATGGACCAGCCCACGCCAGAGCTCCCTGTCGGCCATCACCACCCCCAGCTCCTTCAAGGTCAAGCCAGTCACTTCAAGGATGCCATCCATCCATCTTGCCCTTGGTCGGCCCCTCTTCCTTTTGCCTTCCACTTTCCCCAGCATAATTGTCTTCTCTAGGCTTTGCTGTCTCCTCATGATGTGGCCAAAGTACTTCAACTTTGTCTCTAGTATCCTTCCCTCCAGTGAGCAGTCGGGCTTTATTTCCTGGAGGATGGACTGGTTGGATCTTCTCGCAGTCCAAGGCACTCTCAGCACTTTCCTCCAACACCACAGCTCAAAAGCATCTATCTTCCTTCGCTCAGCCTTCCCTAAGGTCCAGCTCTCACATCCTTAGGTTACTACAGGGAATACCATGGCTTTGACTAGGCGGATCTTTGTTGCCAGTGTGATGTCTCTACTCTTTACTATTTTATCGAGACTCTCGATTGCTCTCCTCCCAAGAAGTAAGCGTCTTCTGATTTCCTGGCCGATGAGATGTCATAGTTATGCTAATGAGATGTTATAGTTATGTTTAACTAATTGTTTATTATATCATTGTTTTAACTGTTTTTTAACTCTTTTTATGATGTTGAACATTGAATTTTGCTATTGTTGACCGATTTGAGTCGCACAAGGGCTGAGAAAAGCGGTATATAAATGAAGTAAATAATAATAATAATATTACGAGAGACCAAATTGCCAATATCTGCTGGATAATAAAGAATGGCAGGGAGTGTTGATGTAGAGATTGTCTGGTTTGCCTACTCTAGAACATGCAATTATCCTTCTTTAGGAGTCCCTTTCAAATCTATGGTATCCCCTGTTTGGGTATCAGCCAGCACGTCAACGACCTAAATCAAGAAATAGTTTTCTAAAATCTACAGCGACACTCGCTGGAACACCTCAGCAAGCGAGAGTCCAAAAGTGGCAGGCTCAAACCCACAACCTCAATCAATGGCTGATACCCAATGAGAGACTCCCTCCTGGGCACACAGAAAACTGGGCAAAACTGGAGAAATTACACTGTTTAGCTGGTATTGCACCACCTGACATCCGCCGGGAAGTAGCAGCCAATAGTGAAGGGACCAAGGCAGTGACATCTCCAGCTCATCCCTTGTTTGCGTATCAGCCAGCATATCAACGACTTAAATCAAGAAATAGTTTTCTAAGATCTACAGAGACACTCGCTGGAACACCTCAGCAAGTGAGAGTCCAAAAGTGGCAGGCTCAAACCCAGAACCTCAATCAGTGGCTGATACCAAATGAGAGACTCCCTCCTGGGCACACAGAAGACTGGGCGACGTGGAAGGCACTGAACAGACTGCGCAGGAACATATATACGTATGTGGTGGCTATGTAAATATGTAAATAATTTTTGGGGGAAAGTATTTAGAGAAATAGAAGATATAATGAATACTAAAATAGAGAGAAGTCCTAGTATAGCTTTCTTATCATTATATAACAATGAACAATTGAAAAAAGAGGATAAGGAAGCGATAACAAATTTATTAACAATAGCAAGACTGCTTATAGCAAGGAACTGGAAAAAAGAAATAAATATACAAATAGAGGAGTGGTATAAGGAAGTATGGAAACTGGCAATAAATGATAAGCTGACATGTATATTAAAAGTTAAAAGAGGTATATGGAAACAAAGTGATTTTGATGATATATGGAGAAAATTTATTGTAAAAGGATTAAAAAATAAAGAAGGAAAATTACAGCCACAAGAAGAATTGAGATTTTGGACAGATGACATGTAAAAGTTGTGGCTTGAGAGGGGGAAAGGGGAGCACAGTGGTGAGGAATAGAAAATATATTTAAGCAGGATAAGAATACTAGATGCCAAAGTATGTTAGGTGTATTGAATAATATGTATCTGCTGTAAAACAAATGTATAACAAATGTATTAACTATGATAAAATAATAAAAAATATTTTTTTAAAAAAAAGACTGGGCGACGTGGAAGGCACTGAATAGACTGCGCTCTGGCACCACGAGATGCAGAGCCAATCTTAAGAAATGGGGCTACAAAGTGGAATCCACGACATGCGAGTGTGGAGAAGAGCAAACCACTGACCACCTGCTGCAATGCAACCCGAGCCCTGCTACATGCAGGGCAGGAAAAGGCAGTGAGGCCATCTTGTCCTGTCCATAGGGCTATTATGTTACATATGTCCAGATAATGTCCATAATATGGGTGAGGCTGGGAATTGATTGAGGAAATCCCTAGCTCGAAGTTTCTTATCGCAGGCTGTATGATCATATGGGATGCAGGACTACAGTTTCCCATCCAGGGAAAGGAACAGGAAATCTCAGAAGCACAAAATATATTAGTACCATAACATAGGAACACATAGGAAAAGGCAGGGAATTTTTAGGGCTTTTTTGTCATGCACATGAGTAACATAGTTTTCCCACATATGTACAGATATCCAAGCCAGGCTCCCTTGTATGTAGAACGAGGCATGAGGAAGGGAAAATACATAGAAATAATACAATTTCATATTGGAAGAGGGGAACATGCAGACTGGGCTTTCAGGGGGACTTTTGAACAAAAAGGCAGGATGGTTACACATTGCAAGGATGGGAATAGATAAGGAAAATAACTTTAGAACATATGAATATTCAGCGCGTAATTAGTTCTTTTAAACAGCAGTCCTGGGAGACATAGTTCCTCAGGCTTGGAAAACATAGTCTTCAGAATCCCTGGGTTGAGTTAGATCCCAAAAGAGGCCAGAGGGTGTGCTCTGAGACAGGGAGGGTGGCAGGAGAGAAATATAATGACCAGAGAGAGCTTAAACTATCAAAGGCTTTCTAATGTGGGAACCAGCTATCCAGAAAGAGAAGAAAAGTGGTATCAAATTGCATTAATTCTACAGTGTAGATGCACCCTAGAACAAGGATGAGGATTTCCAGTCTTCCAGCTTCCATCATAGCTGGGTGTTTTAGTCCAACAACCTCTGGTGGATTGTGCTTTTTAGAGGAAAAAAGTCTTCTGCTTTTATGCCCTCTCAGAAAATTATAATTTTAAATAATTTAAGCATTGATCTTTCCCTGTAATATTGAGACCCTAAAGCAGGGGTCCTCAAACTATGGCCTGGGGGCCGGATGTGGCCCTCCAAGGTCATTTATCTGGCCCTTGCTCACAGTCAACTTAAGTTTGAAACGAAAGCACACAACAACAACAACAACAACAACAACAACAATTCTAATTCTTCAGCCAAAAGTAGGTCCACACTTCTAATTGAAATACTAATAAGTTTATATTTGTTAAAATTGTTCATCATTTTAATTATTGTATTGTTTTAAGTGTTGTTGGGTTTTGTTTGTTTTTTTTTTTGCACTACATATAAGATATGTGCAGTGTGCATAGGAATTCATTCATGGTTTTTTTCCAAATTATAATCCAGCCCTCCAACAGTTTGAGGGACTGTGACAGGTCTGTTTAAAAAGTTTGAGGACCCCTGCCCTAAAGACACAGAAAGAGCTCACACCTTTTGAGGGCAACAAATGTGGCTCCATTTCCACTCCAAGAGAAGGGCTTCAGCCTCTCATAGCAATTACCAGCAATGCCCAGGCTGCTTTAGATAATAATGCCACATAACACGGGAATGATAGCCGCTCTGATGAGAGAGCTGTAAAAGAAAATAGACGCTCAGTACTGCAAATCGATTCCGCAGGTTTCCAATTTCCCCATTCAGTATTGCTATGGGCTGTGAAATTGACCGGGCGCTGTATAAAAATGAAAGTGGAGGAAGAACACCGACAACCCATGCCTTGTAGCAAATGACATTCCGGGATATTTGTCCTTCTCAGATGGCGAGTCCCTCTTCCCTGAAGCCCTATCTCCTAATGGTAGAGGC